TAGAGAACTGGTAACCAAATGGCTACTTCAGTGTGCTAAAGGTTAACCTTCTCCCTGCTGCCTAACCCTGTAACCAATAGAGAACTGGTAACCAAATGGCTACTTCAGAGTGCTAAAGGTTAACCTTCTCCCTGCTGCCTAACCCTGTAACCAATAGAGAACTGGTAGCCAAATGGCTACTGCAGTGTGCTAAAGGTTAACCTTCTCCCTGCTGCCGAACCCTGTAACCAATAGAGAACTGGTAGCCAAATGGCTACTGCAGTGTGCTAAAGGTTAACCTTCTCCCTGCTGCCTAACCCTGTAACCAATAGAGAACTGGTAACCAAATGGCTACTTCAGTGTGCTAAAGGTTAACCTTCCCCCTGCTGCCTAACCCTGTAACCAATAGAGAATCGGTAGCCAAACGGCTATTTTAGTCTGCTAAAGGTACATTGTATAACTCAACATTCTGAACACGACAGCCAAATGTCAGGATCTGGTAAAAAGGAATCAATTGTCACATTGCCCCTTGCTCTATCCGCTCTGTTGGACGGGACAGAAGGCTTAGGAGTTTGATCGTCAATCAATCAATCAATTATCAAACGTTATTGACAGTTTATCAATTGTGTATATGTTTGTTCCACACTTTTGTATGTATTTGAGTAAGATCAGTCAGATCCTAGCTAAAAGGCAAAGTGATCATTATCTCAATCTCTAAGAAAAGTACATCTTATATTCATCTGATAGTCTTAACTCACCCACTCTTAAGCTGTAATTTGATCCTCCTTACAAGGAGCTATCAAATTATCTTATGTCAGTAAGGCCTCAGGCCAGGTTGGATATAGATCTCATATTCACCTCACAATCTTAGAGTATAACTCAAGCAGTCTGAAAACGTAATTCGATATTCCTTGGAAGGAAACCAAACGTCAGAAACGTCCCAAGATGAACAGATGTAGATGTTATATTCACTTCGCTTCTTAAGTGTAACTTGACACCGTTATCTGTCAGCCTGGTAAGTCGATAAGGGTAATCAGTAACTTGATATCATAGGTGGAAGATTTAATACAGAGAAAGGGAGGAGACCAATTTGCAAGAGTCCGTAGGTGAAACTTGATATCCCATTTCTGATAATTACGTGTGCGATTGTTTTCTTATACATGTATAAGGGAGGAGACCAATTTGAAAGGGTCCGTGGATGATATTTGATACCCCATTTCTGATAATTACGTGTGTGATTGTTACGTTTTCTTATATTGCAACAGGCAGTCATCAGATATCTTTGCAATTACAAAATAGTATCTAATGATTCTAATCAGCAAAATGGAAATGTTAACCTTCTCCCTGCTGCCTAACCCCATAACCAGTAAAAATTTGGTGCCAAATGACTACCTTAGCAAGCTAAAGGTTAATATGCATGCCATTTTGGCTTAAGTAAAGTGAGGGTTATTTTTAACCATTGTCCAAATTCAGGTTCAAATATCCCGTTACTACTATTTGTCCAATTTAAAGATAGTTCTGCTCTAGATATCTTCCTTAGATTGTGTAATCTTTACTGAAGCCAATATCAAGTGAAAACATTAATACGTGTGCCATGTTGGCTTAAGTGAAGCGAGTGGCTATTTATATAACTCATTGTCCAAATTCAAGTCCAACTATCTCATTCCCATGTATTTGTCCACTTCAAAGATAGATATCTTCCCTAGATTGTGTAATCTTTACTGAAAAGCCAGTAACAAGTCAAAACATTAACTTGAACTCTAACATGGTCATCTTGAAGTCATTAGTAGAAAATAGCCTCTGTTGCAGGCTTACAGAACTGGGGGTTTGGTTAGGTGGTCTTTGGCTGTTTTCTGATTAGACCAGTTCTCAAAAAACGGAGGTAATCCAACCAGGCCGGCTATGTTGTCTATATGCAATCAGAAAATAGCACATAAAAGACTGTGAAGACCCCCGAAACCCCCAGTTTTTGGCATGCTATGGAGGCAAATGAGTAGAAAACGACTTTATGAGAGGATTTTACTTACCCTCTAATAGTGTGTTTGTTTCTGAGACTTTATCACTGTCTGCTCTCCGTTAAGACATACCTGTTAAAGTCTTAAGTGCCTCTTGTCATTCCTTATATGGTGCGGACCTCTGGGTGGCCACTTTAGTCTTGACCTTGAAGGAAATGGAAGGAGCAAACATTAAGATGTTTTATCGTCTTGTAAAATGTCTTCCCGTGTCCTTGAGTCGAGTTATACAGGTTTGCTGTGGGCTGAACTTGTAAACTGTATGTTTGACTTGTTGCCTCTTTTAAGGATTTTTGAAATGATCCTTTACATGCACTGGTCATGCCCTTAACTTAGAATGTTCCTCAGTATATCAATAAAATTTTAATTTATGATATTATAGATGGATACATTGACATGTAAGGCTTCTATGTTATCTATGTACTAACATATTCACTAGGCCACATTCATGTACATCCAATACCCTGAAAAAAAATGCATCGAAAGATATGTCCAATGCAACTTTGCATACCTGGGGGTGCTGCACTAGAAATCTCTCAAACACACAGTTTGTCAAATTTATAGTGACAGATTATATAGCCAGATGGATAAATAGAGGTTACATACATAATAATAATAAACCTATATAAATGCATATCTATAGACATAGACAGACAAATACGTATAGATTTTGCGATATCCAATTCTGAACATCGCTGATGCTGGGAGTATAGAAGTTGCAGAGAATTTATGCCCCTTTCAGCTGCCTGTGAAGGTCGTGCCCTGTCTGGTTAGTGGAACGTTCCGTTGCCACGGTTACCACAGAACCCCCCTCACCCTTGACCCTGAGCTATTCCTATAACACACGCACGACCTCTGACCTGTGACCTTGACTGTGGAGGCTGGTAGACAGCGGTTATTTTTGGTAACGTTCGTTATTTTTGACTTGCTAGCTCATAGATATGCTAAAAATACTACAAATATATAACTTATATAGTTGTCGATAATGTTAGATGTAACGTTACAGTGACACTCTATTTTACTAGCATTTTTATGAGGGTTTTGGCCTCCATGGATATGGAATTTCAGAATAATCTTATCGAGTTTAGTATGCGAGGTAAAATTTTATGGCGTGTAAGCTTGGTATTTATTGCACTTTGATAGTCATATCTATGTTATATATCACATTACATGACTTTCTATATTATTACTAGCTCTTTTTATGATGCTGTGACCTGAACTAACATCGAGTAATGTTGATCTGTTCAGTGTTGCTGTCAGTGTTATATGAGACATAGCTGAATATATACAGGGCTGGAAATACTGGGTGCATGTGCACCTTAGTGTACCCAAATTTGGACCTGTGCACCCAATATTTTTCTGTGCGTGCTCTGGTGCACTCAAATATTTTTGTAGGTATTTTTCTACATATCAAATGTATAATAGTATACAGGATATGCTTGGCATCTAAGTGTCAGAAAAATACCAAAATCTTTTGCTGTAGTACTTGTTGTTTAATATTTTGAAGTTACCTCCCATTTCAGATTCAGTCTTAGAAGAGGAACAATAAGATTTTATAATTATGGTCCACCCAAAAAAATTTTTGTGCACCCAATTTTTTAGGTTGGATGCACCAGTGCACCTATTCCCAAAAATGAATTTCGAGCCCTGGAGTTATATGAGACGTTGCTGCATTATAAAAAGGATTCCAGGCTCTTAGTGCTGTTTACAGACGCGCATGATAAAATAATGCACCGGAAAGCCTTTATATCAACAGTTTTATGTACTGTTTTACTGGCAGAAGGCTTAGAAAGGCAAACATATGGCAGATGTTAGTGATGAGTGTTACTAAGGACTGGGGAAGTGCCTCATGTTTATGCCTGTAGATATACATTATGTAAACTAGTAAAAGACTTAGATAATGCTTATTTATTGAGATAGAACACTGATGGCATATTAAGTTATTATGTATTTTTGTATTATTATTAATAAGATGTTGAAAGATAGTTTGGATATTAAAATTCATTTCATCTTCCACATACATAATATTCTTTCCATCAGGTGAATTTGCACTCCCCTCTTTTCAGCAACCAAAAATGTCAAGCGGAATTTGAAATGATACTCCCCTCCCTGCTCTGTCAAATTCCCAACGACTTACTCACCGGTCCTCACATTGTATCTGACTCTAGTCTAAATAGGCTTATCTAAACCACTAAATTCTGGGTTGGGCATCATAAAAGTTTGAAATACAAGGAAGGAAACCAAGGCCTCCTCCTGTTAGATATAATATGGAGGGAGTGATAAGGGTCTAGTCTAACTTGACTTGAGTCTAGTCTAACAAGAATTGTCTGTAGGAAGAACTGCTGGAGACTAGCCCGTAGGTAGAGAGTATACGTAGGGCCCTTAAAAAGGCCTGGTAGAGGCTATTTGCAGAGTAGGGGAGTGGCATTCCAGTCCAGCCATCTGATTCCCTGTTTACAGATTTTGTGCTGAATTCTACAATCTCTAACCCTTTACTAAGGCCTGGTAGAGACTAGCTAGAAAGAGGAGCCCTTAGGAAGGCCTGATAGAGGCTAGCTTGAAAGAGGAGCCTTTACAAAGAGGCCTGTTTGAGGCTAACACAGCAGTGAGTGTGGGAGTGGCATTCCAGCCCAGCCATCTGATTCCCCTGTTTGCACAATTTTGCTGAATTCTACAATCCATAACCTTTTAGGATAACCTGTTAGAGGCTATCTAGAAAGTGGTGCCCTTAGGAAGGCCTGTTGGAGGCTACAACAACAGTGAGTGTGGGAGTGGCATTCCACCCAGGCCATCTGATTCCCCTGTTTACATAGTCCTCATAATTCTACATGTACTATCCATATCCCTGTATTAAGGCCTGATAGAGGCTACGTATAGTATAGTATAGGAAAGGCCCTTAGAAAAGCCTGTTTGAGGCTAGGTGCAGCCATGAGTGTGGGAGTGGCATTCCACCCAGGCCATCTGATTCCCCTGTTTACATAGTCCTCATAATTGGGAGTAATGCAAATCAGGCACGCCGGCTCTGTCTGAGCAGCCAAGGGGGCGGGTTCTCTTCCTGTGTGTGTTACTGTGTGTGAAGCGCTCAGCTCTCTGCTAGACAGGCTGCCGCCCCTCTACAGGCCCTCAGTGATTTATAGACGCATTGTTGGTATTGTTGTGAGCTGTCCGGAGTTGTAGAGACGCGGCTGTGAACTTGGAGGTGGTGTCAGGACTGAGAAATGTCGTCGGTGGTGCCCAAGCCTGATGTCATCCCCACTAGTGTTGTAGCTGTTGCCACCTCCAGCTGCAAACCCTCTCTTCACAGAAAAGTAAGGCCCCAGTTTTTGGTTTCGTGTCTCGATCTCTCCAGGGTTGTTGGGTTTACGTTACAGTTCTGAGGAATGTTAGCTTGAAGTGGGTAGCACTAGGAGATTAGTCGAGCGTGCACAGCAAACTTTTCTATCAAGAAACCAGGCTAGCTAGCAGAGAAGACAGCCAGGCTGATTCTTAGCCTCCATAGCATGCCAAAAACTGGGGGTTTGGGGGTCTTTGGGAGCTTTTATGTGCTATTTGCTGCTTGCATATAGACAACATAGCCGGTCTGGTTGAATTACCCCCGTTTTTTAAACTGGCCAGCTAACCAGAAAACAGCCAAAGACCACCAAACCCCCAGTTCTATAAGCCTGCTAAGGAGGCTAGCTGATTCTATCCACATCCTATTTCCCTTAGTCCCTGCAACTATGACTTATTTAGAGCTATCTGCGTTGTTTCAGAAACGTTTGGTAAGTTCTACGCAGCGCAGTAACCTTAGTCAGCATAAAGTGTTTTCCAAAGCCTGTTTAGAATGTCTGAACATGCAGGAATTCAGTCTCCAACCTCAGAAATGTTCCATATGGTTGAGGTTGTGAGGCCCCCTCCCCCTTTCTTCAGTACTAACTCTCCCTACTTTCCTGTTATTTCTGGCTGGCCTTTTGAGCATAGGGGCCCCCTATGCTGTGATTTGGACCCCCCCTATACTGTACTTCAACCAGCATAGGGGTGTTTTTTTTTGGGGGGGGGGGAGAACCTTCATAAATCTTCAAAAAATGAAAATATAACTTAAGCATGAAGCTATAGCAAAGGGAAAACCTTAACTTCACAAAATCTGTCCCTCAATAAGCAAGAAATTGAGTGTCTCAGGGCGTTATAAGTTTCAAAATTTTTTGGGAAGACCACCACACCCCCTGCTGTGGTCATGGTTTTAGGACTTGGATGTGCGACTTTGTCCTTCTATACCTGACCCCTATGCTGTGAAAAAAACCTGGTGAGAACCCTGCTTTCCTGTTATTTCTGGCTGAGTCTAGCTAGCCAGTCCCTGTGCAGTGCGTTGTTCGCAGCCCTGCCTTGATTATATTTGCCCTGGGCCTGGGAGGAATGTGTGCAGTCTACACAGACCTGGTGGGATGAAAGGAACACAGAACTCATGTTAACTGTAAACAGAGCTGTCTGGAAATGGTCAGGGAGTCGTTTGTGGCATTGTTACAGACACTCGGTCTCTCACGTTTAGGTGTATATACATGTAGAGGGTGAACAGAAGGTGTAGGGTTTTATCACTATGAAACATGAAGTGATCTAACTTCTAAGATATCATCAAGTGATGACGGAAAAGAAACGTCTGGAAATAGGGGTTCGTTTGTGGCATTGTAAGACACTCAGTCTCTCATGTTTATGTGTAGGTGTGTAGATGTATTTGGTTTAGGGTTTTGTCTATTTCGTGGGTCTGGTCACTAGCACTGTGAAATATGAAGTGACCCAAGAAACTGTCATGTGATGTAACTGTAAGTGTAAACAGAACTGTCTGGAAATGTACAGGGCTTCGTTTGTGTGACATTGTTGTATATAGACACTCAGTCTCCCACGTTTTGGTGCAGGTGTGTAGCTGTAAGGTTTAGCTATTAGGAATTGGTCTGTTCTGTGAAAGTAAAATATACGATGAAAGGAGAGCCAAGAAATTGTCAAGTGGAAAGGATAAACAGGACAGAAATATCTGGAATAGTTGGGGCTTTGTTTGTGACATTGTCTCTCAGTCTCACGTTTATGTGTGTAAAGATCTAACCTTCATCGATGATGATTGGATTTGTGTAATGAAATGACCAAGTTACACATTCCTCTAGCATAGCCAGTGTATATTCTATTCACATTACATAATACCGTAGTCAGTCGCTCGCTTGACCCCACAAGTGCCAAGGAAAATTTGCATACATATTGGAAGCCCAACAAAACATGGCCGATCTGATCAGCATTGTCACTTACAGGGTTAAAAGCTACATTCACAGTGTTAGAAATACCCACCTGCAGTCTGCATTTTGCAGACATTTTCAATATTGCAGAAGAAAAATTAAGCAACCTACAAGTTTGCAGACTGAAAAAAAATCAGGCTAGGGCTTCAATGGTGTTTAAAAGCTTTGGTGTTTACTACTGACTCTAATATACAAACCTACATATACAAATTTTGAATTTATTGCAATATGCTTCCAAACATGCAATTTTGTATGTGCCATGGGTTTAGATCCAGACTTTAAAGTGTGTACTTGCAGAAAGTATTTCCAAATTGCAGAACAAAATTGTGACATCCTGCAATATTGGAGATCACTAAGAGTCAGAAATTAAGTATTTCTACCACTGATTCATGTACACATACAGTACAGCAGGGTTAATAATGTCTACTGGCATTGCAGTATGGTGAACATGTATATCATTATTAAACTGACATAGATTCAGGCATGTGTTGTTATGCATCTTTATTACGCATGACATATGCATGGCAGTGTCATCATGTATGATTATCACATGTGACATTGCACATGACAAAACATATTGATAACTCATTCTTATAGCGTAAAGTAGGTGAGGCTTCCAAATCTAGAGCTAGCTGCCAATTTTTTTCTAGGTGACTTCTTTGTGTGGCTGTGTCATTATGTATGATTATTACATATGACATTGCACATCATGTCACAAAAGTAGGCAAAGCTACATATATTTTGGGAAGCCTTGCCTACTTATTTTACATGATTGACTTACTCTCATGTGTAATGTCACGATTGTATAATCATCATACATAATTACACGTCTATGTCTATAGGTTATGTCATGAGAAAAAATATCACTGGAAAAAAACTGCCAGCTAGGTTGTAAGCCCCACCTCCTTTTGTGAACCAGTTATCCATATGTACTCTCATGCGTGATAATAACTCATAATTACATCTATACTACCAAAGGTTATGTCAAGTGTAAATATATTGTATGCATAATGTTACTGAAAAGAGAAATGGCAGCTAGCTATAGGTTAGAGGCCCTGCCTACTTACATGTACATAGGTGAAATATCCATATGTATTCACATGTACTCAAGTGTAATGTCATGAATGTATGATGATCAAACATAATTACAATTCAACACAAAAGGTTATGTCATGCGAAAACATATTGTATGCATAATGTTACTGGAAAGAGAACTGGCAGCTAGCTATACGTTAGGGGCCCTGCCTACTTACATGTACATAGGTGATATATCCATATGTACAAATGTATTCACATGTACTCAAGTGTAATGTCATGATTGTATGATGATCAAACATAATTACAATCCAACACAAAAGGTTATGTCATGCGAAAACATATTGTATGCATAATGTTACTGGAAAGAGAATTGGCAGCTACCTACATGTACATGAATGGTTGGAATATCCATATGAGACATTCTGCCAAAGTGCTGTGCACAACACATTACAGGTTTTTTGTGCAGGTGCAGTACGTTCTGCCAACATGCTTGAGTATTCTGTTCTATTCATATATCTGTGTTATTATCATACTTGAGAGTAACATCTGTGTCCATAATATCACCATAGTCCAAAATATCGCCACCTTGAGAAACAGTGTGCTTAAAGATGTTTTTACTGCAATATACCCTAGATGTGTACATTTGAGGTGTGCAGGAGTGCATACCAAAAGTATGTTGCAGTAAAAATATCTTTAAGCACACTGTTTCTCAAGGTGGTGATATCATGGACCCTGGTGATATTATGGACACGGATGTTACATCTGGATAACCAGTCCACAAAAGGGGGCGTGGCTTACAAACCTAGATGTCAATCTTCCTTTAAGAAGGTGTAAGGTAAAACCGTGACACTTGAGACTCTTAAGGCCTCTTAAGGTTCATTGTGAGGATCAAGTCGTCAAGGTCGAGAGTCTGGGAGGCAGGCTTCAAGGTCAATGGCATTCCTTTGTGTGTCACCTGAAAGGCGGGATTTGGTTTACTTCCGACAGAGTGTCAGGTTTGGAGTAGGGCGTTCTGTTACACAAATGGCTCTTTCACTCCTCGAAGTATTGTAGAGTGCGACTGTTGTCACCAAGTACGGTAGGGGCATCCTCGCTAGATAGCTTTAAACAATGCCTGTATATGTATATACTGTATATCTAACATTATACAGTATATACATACACAGATATTGACAGAGTGTCAGGTTTAGAGTCAGGCGTTCTGTTACACAAATGGGTCTTTCAGTACTACTTGAAGTTTCACCTACAAAAACCTTTTGAGAACTATTGTAGACTGGGACTACTGTTGTCACCAAGTACGGTAGGGGCATCAGCACATATATTATAGCTTTAAACATTGCCTGTACATATATATATATGTGTTAACATTATACACGCAGAGTGTCAAGTTTGGAATAAGGCGTTCTGTTACACAAACGGGTCTTTCACTTGAAACAAACTTCTTAGAACTATTGTAGACTGGGGTTGTTGTCACCAAGTACGGTAGGTGCATCATCGCTAGATACATGTAGCTTTGAACATTGCCTGTACATATACATGCCCGTAAGTTAAGCCAGGATTTTGAATGGGGGGGGGGGTTCTTCCCACTGCTTAAGGGACCAGCCAGCGCTGTATGTGATTGTGAAAGGAGCTCTAACCTTAAGTAATCCGATAGACCCTATTTCCTGTGACACGATTTTCTGAGGTTTAATACCTGATTGACTCACACACGTGTGACATGTGTTATACATGTGTATGAGAAAAAATGGACTGTATAGTTATTAATCTTTGACCTAATAATCCCACATCAAAAACTCTCTACAACTTCGGGATAAGTACATGTATGCACTCTTCAGATATGTAGGAGCTCGAGTATAGAAAAGCTCAACTAAGCACCCTATAATTTAATTGTTCACAAAATGTCCAGAAATAGAATATCTAGTACTAGAAAAGCTCTCAGCAAACTGCTTAAATTCATTTTTGTGAAGGCTTTCATCTGGAAATACATTCCACAAGTGGCCATGTTGACCACT